CTGGGATCTGCAGTGCAAAATGTTAAAATTATACAGTGTACAGACAACACATCTTTCTTTGTAGTAACAAAAGGTTTTTTCGCCCACTAACAAAACGAGATCCATTGCGAAATTGAATTTACACACCAAAGAAATAACCGCTATCTCCATGTTCTGCCGTCTCCTAGCAACTGAAACCTACTGATGGTTTCGCTGCAATAGGCAGTGATGGGGATGAATGCCGGTCTGTTTCAGTGCAGCAATGTGTCAGCGAAAGTAGAACTATGCAACAGAAACAAACCAAAAAATGACACGTTCTTGCAGTTTCAGACATGTAGATTGATTCTCAACCCAAATCAAATTTAGAAGATAGATGTTTCAATCAAACTGAAAGATCTTTGTATGGGCACGAGTATATTAACATAGATGTGAACAAGGTAAGGTTTCACATTTTTTTTTTTTCGGTTCTCCATGTTAAATTCACAAATCTCCAGTCGTCCTCAAAATCTCAGGTGCTTTATCTTGTGCAACTGTTATAATAATTATAATAATCCTTGCATTTGATGTAGCACCTTATCACGTCTTTGAGATTTGTTGCTGTTGTTTGAGATGTGTCAAAGCTCTTCACAGAATATACTGGTCAGTGAATTGACCAGTTTGCGGGCGAAACGCAGCAGCCAATTACGCACAGCAGTGCCCCACAAACAGTCATGGATTGAGTGAACAAATAATTATTTTATTTATTTGTTTTGAAAGGGTTATTAGTCCCGGAAAAGCTATCCATCAATTGACTAACAACCGGGTTCCTGCTTACTCCTAAGTAAACAGAGGCGTGTGGAGTAAGGAAACTTGCCTAATTTTTCATCCTGCCCGGGAATCGAACCCAGGTCCTCTCACTTACGAGGAGGTTGCTCTAACCAATCCGCTATTTATAAATACTGATGCATTATAAACACATTAAGCAAAACCAAAATCTTTCTTAAAAAACATAATAGGGTAAATATTTTATTTTTGTTTTATTTTCCACAGGGGCCCATTCAGAAGTATAATTTTCCACAAGCCGCGTGGCGGGCTCGTTTATGTTCAACAACCTTTTTTTAAAAATGTAAAAAGGGACACATTGCCATCTATTTGACACTGCACTTTAGGGGAAAGCAATAAAAGTGCTCTGAAATCTTATGCAAAGGAATGATAATTAAGAGTTACTCCAATTAAAATCAATATTACGTAATTCAGCTCACCTTAATACCAATTGGACATGGATGACAAACAACCCAAATATCAGTTCCCCCGAATTTTACAGCACTTTTATAGAAAGAAGAGTCGCTTAGTTGAGTTGGCCGTCCTCTTGCGCTGGTCAGAAATCTTGTGTCACGGACTAGGCTCTGAGCTCAGTCTAATCTGACACTCCAGTGCAGCATTGGGGGGGGGAAACGCAGATGAGACAAGAAACTAAGTTCCATCTGCCTATTCATGTGGGCATTAAATAATGTATATTTGAAAAGAGGAAGAAGTTTCTCCCAGTATCCTGACCAACAATCCTTGGTCATTCACCTTCTGTCTGTGGGTCATTGCTATGCACAAATTGGCTGCTGCGTTTCCTAGAAACATATCGAAAGACGTACAATCTTCAGTGCTAAAACAACAAGTTGCATTTATGTAGTGACCTTCATGCAGCGTTGCACCTCAGAGCGCTTGACAATGGCGGAGCTCCATACTGGTGTTTATACTCCACATGAGACTTCACCCACTTTACTAACATCTCCCTTGCCTTCCCACTTATAATGATGTCCTAGCTAACAATCCCCCAAATAAAATTGGTTATTAATTTCATAGCTGTTTGTATGACGCTGCTGTTTGCAAATTTGTTGCCCATTTCACCCACAAATCAGTCACTCCACTCCATTACAGTATATCCTGTGAAGCCCTTTGAGACGTCCCCCTAACATGAAAGGCACTATACCAAATGCAAGGATTTTTATTATTATTATTATACAAATGTAATTTGTTGTTTGTTGTATTATTATTATTCCATTCTCCCTCAAGTATAGTTTTCTTTGAAATTTATTCATGTTTTTTTGCCTCAATTACTGCTTCTAGCAGTGAGTTTTACATTATCACCATTGTCTTGTCAACTGAAGTTTTGTCAACTCTTTTGGGGGTATTATCACAGAGGAAAATGTTTTATCTAACCTGTCCAGTCTTTGTTGGTCTCTGTATTCTCTTATCCACAGTAATACTCTTGTAAATCTTTGCTACACTCTCTTCATTGCCACACTATCCTTTGTATAATATGGCGACCAGATCATTCTGCAAGACTGCTTATCTTCCAGCATCTTTTTGCATTATTTACCATATCCCTCAGCTTGGTGTCATCTGTAAATTTTGACACTATACCTTCTGTATCCAAGTCCAAATCATTTATGTAAATAGTGAACAATTGTGGACCGAACACAGTGGATCACCACTTGCTCCTACTCGACAGTCAGAGAAGATGCCTTCTACTCCTGCTCTTTATTTTCTGTTTTCTGGTCATTTTCCAATCCATTTCGCCTACAAAATAATCAATCCATTTTACAATATATTGGGTGAAGCGCTTTGAGACGTCTCAACAACATGATATGGCACTATTTCACATAAAAAACTCTCCCACGACACCATATGTCCTGAGATTAGTGATGTGCAACATTATCGAAGGCCTTCTGAAAATCCATCTACACCACACTCACTGCATTTCCCTTACCTACATTATATGCTCCATCTTCAAAGAATTCAATCAAGTTGGTCAAGCATGACCTTCCTTTTAGCAATCCATGCTGACTGCATTTTATTATATTCTCCATCTCAGGATGTTTAGTTATTTCATCCTTTATTAACGACTCCAATACTTTGCCCAAACATTAAGATAACTGCCCTGCAGTTTCCTGGATGAGCTCTATCTCCTTTTTTACAAATGGCCATTACATTTGGCACCCGCCAGTGCTCTGGCATAATTCCTTTCTCTAACAGAGATTTTAAATATATTAGATATAGACTTGTGCCTCAGCTATCTCCTCCCTCATTTATTTAAGGATACTTGGGTGCAATCTATCCGAGCAAGGTCCTTTGTCCTCTTTAAAATCTCGCATGCTTAACAATAGCTACTGCGAAATGATTTGATAAAGCTCTATATCAGATGCAAGGATTATTTATTAGTTTATTAGTTACTGGAGTATATATATTTTCATATAAATAGCTTAGTGTCTTGTATGCTTTTGTCAAGAGTGGTGAAAGACATTGATCAGATCCAACAAAGGTTCAAAAAAGCTGCAAGCAGCCGGGTTATCAGCGAATGGAGTTCCTGCTTGGCTATTCCGATTGTTGTGTGGCACTTCAATCTAAATGAAGATGCTCATCCTAAATGAAAGGCACCATAAAAGTGCAGGTTTTTAATGCTGTGCACTATCAAATAGAGTATCTGAGGGTAAAGGTGTCATTTCTGATCTTCCATCTAGAGAAGGTTCCGTCTGTTTTCATTACGTGCGAATCGTTGAGTTTTGCTCAAACAGAATAGATGGGCCCAAGTTTCACTCGGTTAGTGTGGACTAGCAGGATTACTCTCTTTCCTCTGATCTTGTAGATAAATCCTTAGGAGGGGAAGGAGAATGCATACAGAGATATTGCCCTCCCGAGAGACTGACAGACCATTTAGAATAATTGTTCAACTCTTGCAGCAAAACCTCAGCAGCTGTTTATTCTGGACGGTTGCCATGAGAACCATTTCCAGGTGACCCCACCTGTCAAAGACCATCTGGATTATCTCTAGGTGGAGGGTCTGGTCATGTAAACGTACTCTTGTCCTTGCTTAGAATATCTACCATAACATTCTGCATACCTCCAAGGTGAGCAGTAAAGGGCACGGAGGCGCTAGCGTGCACCAGTATCAAATGTGCATCACGTTGCCGCGTCAGGAGGCAGTGTGTGAATTTACTTAATGTTTATGCATCTCAGAACAAGAATGTCGCCGAGCTAGATTCTCACCGATTGCTCCACTTCATCCTTGACCAGAGCGACCCCATATCCTTGACGTGCATGTCTGTTAATATGTCAAAGCAGTGTGCTAATGGTCACACGCAGCTTGCAGTAAGTAGAAAATGTATTATACAACACCTAAATATGAAATGTTATGAATTCATCTAAGAAAAGGAAAATAGCTTCCTCCGAAGCCACAGAGCCTCCCTGCAATCCTGAGTGGCCCAGGGAAAATATTCCCAGCGCATGTGCTAGCTTAGGCAGAAGGCTGAATATGGGGAAGGTCGATAAAAACAGAGAACAAGAGTACGCCTATCAGAATTGGCTTGCAGCAGGGTTCATAACAACAAACAACAAATTGCATTTGTAAGCAAGCGCAACAATTCTATTAGTAAAACATAATGATTGAAATATTATTTCTGCAATCACAATAATTCCCACCAATTCCTTTAGAAGTCTAGACGAGGCTGAACGCCATTAAGAAGTCACAAAATGCAGGATGATTGTATCCTGATCATAAATATCAGGTGTTGGGAAAGCTTCCAGTTTCTGTCATCAACTGGTGAAGGAACAATAAGCAACAACTCCTCATATGCATATTACCAAAGTCACGGGATATCAAAGTCAGCACAGGAACTAAATTCACAGGAACAAACCTACACAATTTTAAAATTACTTAACTGAGACTAATTAAAATACGTTTTAAACTGTGGGTTAGTAAGGATTGATGAAGTAAAGCTTGCCTGAAGAACATATCCTGTTAAGAAGCAACAATTGTGGCTAACAATTAGAGACATTGGAGGGGTAATGAAAAATGTGACTTGAGGTACTATTGTAAGGATGTAAAGCTCTTAAAATAGCAGCAATTCCACAATTTCCCTCATTTGAATGAGTAAATGAATCTTGATTGTTTTCCCTCTTTTCCCCCTTACTCCAGGGAGAGGAAGAGGCAAGTAACAGAGATATGGGAGATCCGAGAAACAGAATTGCAAAAAATTGCAAGTACTCACTGCCAAAGCCTTGGAAAGGATTTGTCGGAATTCATTCAGGACTATGATCACAATCTCTGGGTGAGGTACATAGGCATATCCTCTGTTAAGGTAGACTTTTCTATTTCGGATTAGATCGATAGCATCAGTAAAGTGGATCTAATAAGAAAAAGATTTTTTTCCAAAATTAAAAATACATCTCACACAAGAATTCACCAAATCAAAGGCTGTAAGTGAGTTAACATGTGAATTATTTAATTTCCATATCAAATATACTCATTAAAATGCCTTCCAAAAATGTCATAGGAAATAATGAAGACGACAACAGAAGTTATGGACAAATTTACAAATACTGTACAGCACAGAAAAAGGCCACATCATAGATATAGTGTTCACTCACTATTTTCTGTGTGAAGCAGATCCTCCTAAATTCTCTTTTTGATCCCCTAATCACCATATTACATTCATGTTCCCTGGTTACAGACTCCCCCAACAGTAGAAACAGCCTATTTTTGCTAATCTAAACAAACCCTTTTATAATTTTAAACACCATTCAATATGAAGTCCCTTCTTAAACGTCTCTTCTCTAGAAGAAAAGGCCTAACCTATCCAGTCTATACTGTTAGCAGAACCTGACAGCCTTGGTAGCATCTGAGTAAACCTCAACTGACTGCACTCTTTCCATTGTTGCTATAATCTGCTGTATATTATAGTGTGGAGGCCAGAATTGGACACAGTGCTCCAACTGTGATCTAATCAAGGACAAGGGAGACTCAAAACACTTTTGACAGTCCAACACTGGACATTGGTCCACAAGGTAGAAAGTCACAGAATTGGGGAAAGGAGGAAACTAGTGAGGTGGTTTCCATGCTAAAACCAATGTTACTTTCAATGTATTTGTTTGGAAGTGGAGACAAAAATCAAATTAGTTTGGTGGTGGCAGCAAACCGGGGGTGTTGCAATCAGTGGGGAACCGGCTGTCAAAATAAAGGAACCTAGGCAAATTAGGGAATTCGACTAACAAGTGTTCCATATACAACAATAATTGCAATAATAAATCCTTACACTTGATATAGCCCCTTTCATCTCATGTCAGTTCAAATGTTTCACAGGATTTACTGTAAAGGGTAGTGATAGTGTATTTTGTTGGCAAATGCGACAACCAATTTGCACACAGCAATGTCCACAGCCAGCCATGAAGTGAACGACCAATTTTATCCAGGGGATTGTTGGTCAAGTCACTGGGAGAAATTCTTCCACAAACAAACCGTCATTCCACTTCACAGTTTATCCTGTGAAACACTTTGGGAAGTCCTCCTGACGTGAAAGATGCCTTACCAAATGTAAGGATTATTATTATTAAACTCCCTTTTCTTTTAGAATAATGCCATGAAATCTTTAACATCTATCCAAACGGGCAGACGAGATTCTAGTTTAACATCTCATCTAAAAAACAGCAAATTGATGCACAATACATCCCTAAGCACTGCATTGGATTGTCAGCATAGCCTATATGGGTTTCCAACTCACAAAATGGGGCTTGAACTTTCTGACCTAGAGGCGAGAGTGCTACCACCTGAGCCAAGATTAAAAATGTTATTTAATGTGGACATATGCGGAGTGATGACATTTGGAAAATAAACTTTAAAATGGCTCAGAAATCATTTCTTAACCTGGGGGCTCAATCTCGCTCATTTAAAACGTTTCCAGGGTTGGAGACTGTATGGATTTCACCTTTCAGAAAGTTAAGGTAAGAGAACATAATTAATTTAGAAATCATTGCAGTTTCTATAACTTACTCAGACTTTATCTCAATCGAAAACAATGATGGTATCAAAATGCTGCGAGATTTTTCAGTAGCTGCAGTGCTGATAGGCAATTCTGCCACCTACCGGCCATTCCATACTTAACATCCCAATTTGCATTTGGTAAATATCATATTGCAAATTTTGCCCGAGCGATAATTAAGAATGTTGCAAACTTTAGTCTCATCCTTAAACTCATTTAAATCCCTTTCCTAACTAAAGGACTGAAAGCTGTACTTATTTTATTCTGTTGAACAAGCAAAAACGTCTGAGAGCGAACAAGTTAGACAGGAAATAAGGGTTTTTAAACAACTCCTCTGATGGGTTTTTCTCTCACCTTGTAAATCAATAAGAATTCCATTTTAATTGTACTCAGTCTACTTCCATCAATCACGTTTTTATGTACAGCTTCCTTTTCCTCTGCAGTAATCTGAAATAAAACCAGAGATTTTGGTTAGGTTCAGGTTGTTACAGATTGTTACATGAATCACAAATAAATCAAGGCTCAACAGTGAATGCATACCAATTGTCAGATGAAGCAATTGTACAGGAGACACAAGAGGTTTCTGCCCAACACTCCAGTGGAGTGGACAATAGAAGCCTTCAAAAGGACTAATCGAGCTGCTGTGAACGCAGAATTTGTCCATTAAATCACCTGCCACTGAGTATTTTGCTGTCTTCACAAATTCTGCAAGGAAGCTCTTGATTCATTAAACGTAGTTGGGAATTTGTGTGACATTTCCTTTTCTGCTCAGAAATGTTCCTTTGTGAGGAACATCAGAGAAACACAAACAGACTGGAGCTGCTGTGCTGCAGCACTTTCAAGTAACCAAACCAGCTCCCAACCACAAATTTGAACACTGACACCTGAAGCCCATGATCACCTACATTGACTCTGTCTGAGCAGTTATGAAGATGACAACTGGGAGCAACAGGCAATCAACCCTGCAAGGAATGAAGCATCTCAATGCCTCAACGTTTAGTGAAGCTGGAGCGAGTCTCCCAGTGGGCAGATAACAACAACAAGATTGCATTTATGGAGCGCCTTTCACGTCGGGAGGACGTCCCAAGGCGCTGGACAGTTGGGTCGGGACCCGAGCAGGGGGGAAATGGTCAGGGGGAGGGAAGGGAGGGAGCGAGGATGGGGTAGAGAGTCGAGAGGGGAGGTGAAGGCACGGTTGAAGAGAAAAGCAGCACCTGAACCATTTGAGAGCAGGTCATCTCATCTGCTGGCTGCACATTTGAACCTGTTTCTCAAGGAATACCAGCTTAACTTCTCTATATTCATAATTATTTCCATATTCTTCAATTTCTCCTTCATTATTAGGTAATCACATACCTGCCATTTAATGAACTGCTGACATTAAATAATTATAGTCCTTGCATTTGTTGTCGCGCCTTATCACATCTTCATGATGCCTCAAAGCACTTCACAGAATATACTGTGAAGTGAATTGGCCGTATATTTTGCGAGCAAAACATGGCAGCCAATTGCACACAGAAGTTTCCCACTCGATTGTGGATTAGTGACCAAATTATTATTATTATTTTACTAAAGGATTATTATCCACGGCAAAGCGATCCGCCAATCAACTAACTACTTACTGCTAACAGAGTGAGGGCTAAACAGAGTAAGGAAACTTGCCTATTGTTTTGCCTGGCCTGGGAATCGGACCCAGGTCCTCTCACTGGCGAGGCAAGTGCTCTAACCACTAAGCTGCAGGACTCCACAAGTTAAACCCACAAATAAACCATATTTTAAGTGTAATGCCCACTAATGATTTATACACCCGCAGAATAAACATCTGCTCATTCACAGCACGTCCTATTAGAACAATGTAATCGTCCTTTGTACCAGTATTGAACTGGAGACCAAAAAGATCTATCAATTGTAAAATGAAGCAATTGGATTTTATAAACAACAAAATTACATTTATACAGCGCCTTTCATATCGGGAGGTGAACAGTCAGGTGACGGGGCCCGAGCATGGGGGAGGGGTGGTGTAGGGGTGAGGGAAGGCAGAGAGGTCGTAGGGCGACCAAAGACACGGTTGAAGAGAAGGGTCTTCAGACCAAGAAAGGTAAATTCACAAAAGGTAAATATGGTGATCACTACTTCACAGTCGTCTTGCAGGTGTAGTAATGGGAAATAAAAGCGCAACAGCAATACTGGACACGTGTTTCCAACCTTCCTTTCCTGTCCCAGTCCTGGAACTGGTATTTGCTTCCCAACTTCACTCTATCCTATGTGATGATGGTATCCTACGTGAATATTTTGCTATATAAATGGTGACCATGCATTCAGTCACCTCCCCTCCCAGTTCTGTGTCAAACTATACCGTCGTTAAGTGCTCCAAGACACTACCCACGTGAAGGGCACTAAATAAGTACAAGTTGTTGTTGCTGTTGTTGTATAAATGTAACTTGTCTGAACACAACTACCACACTTCAGTCCTTGAACCTTTGACATCTTTAAACAATTAAAAATTCATATAGAGGTATTCCAAGTAATCAAAGTCTAGAAGGAAGAAACACAGCAAAAATCAACTTTAATATGTTTGCTCAAATAGGTGCCACTTGCCAAAACAACTCGGCTTTACAAAACAAGAAACTGGTTTAATTTATTATCCTTCCATTTATCGAGTTGTACAATGGCTAAAAGTAGCAAGTTACCAAACAAATAATGCTTCCATCTGATTTAGCTCTTATAACATCAAAAACACTTCACAGGTAAATGTTGTTAAACATAGTAACCAACAAGATTTAATGAGGTCAAATCGCCTCCTACTGTATCATATATTCATATTAATCATGTATTTAAATCAATTTACGTACAAACGTGATCCCACAAACAGTCTTGAATGACCAATTTATCTGGAAAATCATTGGCCAGGACACTGAGACAAACTTCATTCTCTTTTCCAATAATATCATGGGAACAGACATCTACTTGAATAGGTAGGCAAGACCACGATTTTACATCTTATCCAAAAGGACTGGACCTCCAACAATGCAGTGCTTCCCTAGTTAGTGCACTAGGGTGTCAATGAACTGGACTGTGAGCTCAAGTTCCAACAAGGGGCTTCCATCCACAAAATGTCTGACCCAGAGGCAAATGCTACCAACTGAGCAAAGATTACACCCAACGGCAGAAAAAATATTTCGCATGAATACTTTAACAGCTAGGTTTGTTGCAAATCTAACAAACCCAGATTGCTCGTATAGCCAAGATTAAAGGAGAATGATCGACTCAACTGGAAGCACTTTAACTCTGGGTAAAATATTGTGGGTTCATAATCTTGTCTGATACTCCAGTGTGGTATGAGCTTTGGAGACATTAAGCCTATCTGGCAACTCTAGAGGTTCAGTTGACATAGTTTCAAAGAGCTCTTTCAGTGTCCTGTTCAATATTCCTAGCTCATCTAAATTTACCAAAAAAATTGGGTCATTCAGCTCATTGCTATTTGTGGAGCGTTACATGTGTGGATGAGCTTTGTGTTTGCCAACATAACACTTCAAAGTAACTCACTGGGTGAAACATTGAGACATTAAGTGAGAGTATTAATAATGCATGCATCTACATTTACGGGCACATGCTGAGCGAAAACACCTGAACCATTTATGTGTTTATTCAAAGGTCATCCTCCTTACCAACTACCCAGAAATTTAATTCAAAACATTGGGCAAGTTTCCTAACTCCACACGCCTGTTTACCTAGCAGTAAGTAGGAACCCGGGTTTTAGTTGATTGGTGGATTGCTTTTCCGGGGGTAATAATCCCTTCAAAAAAATTATTTCATCACCCAATCCACCAGGTTGTGAGACACTACTGTGTGCAATTGGCTACCGAGTATCGCCCACAAAATATACAGTCAATTCACTTAACAGTACACGCCGTGAATCGCTTTGTGATGCCTCGAAAATGTGATAAGGCGTTATATCAAATGCAAGTATTATTAGACCGTAAGACGTAGGAGCAGGAGTAGGCCATTCGGCCCCTCAATCCTGCCCCGCCATTTAATAAGATCACAGTTGATCTTCTAACCTAATTCCATTTACCCGCCCTATCCCCATATCCCTTAATCTTTCTATTCTTTAGAAATCTATCAACCTCAGTCTTGAATATGTTATTATTATTAATTCATTTTTAATATTTCTCACAATTGAACTCACTCACTGTGCCAGGGAGGGCTAACACAGGCTGCCATCCCTACATTCCTACATAGCCGGCTCCTGACCTCGATCGTGCTTTTAGGCCCAGGTATCCTTTGGAGGTAGGACACTATCGCACGAAAAAAGGGAAACCTCAGCAGATGAATTCCCACCGCAGATCACTCACTTTTATGTAGTTGGCTTGCTTACAATATTGCCAGAGGACAAGAAACAGATGGTGTACCTGCTTTCTCAGCTAGGACGAAAATTGGAGAGGTGAACATCAAAGATCCTGTGGCACAATCTGAAAAGAAACTGGTGTTTCTCCCAGTATCCCAGCCAACAATCCCCCCAAATAAAATTGGTCATTCACTCCATGGCTGGTTGTGGGCAAATTTTCTGTGGCAAGTTTACACTTTATAGGATATATCCTGTGAAGCATTTTGAGACTTTGACAACGTGATAACGCGCTATGCCAAATGGAAGGATTATTATCATACGGAGCCGAATCCCTTGAGCAGAAAGCAGAAACAAAGAGCAGAAAGGAGATTCATAATGTCAAAGCTACCCAGACTACAAAAAACAATTCTGCATCATGCGTTGCTGTATTCCAAATGTTTTTGTTCCACCTCTTTCAATGAATTGTATTGTAAGTTTATTTTTACACTCAATTGAGCAGAGCAAGCTTGTAGCACAGAGTTCTAATGTCAACTCTTCACAGGGCAAAGTCAGAGCTCTGCAAAGATGCACTTTAAACGTCTGAGCAAAGTGCTTGCCCATCAATCTCGGAATAAACTATTGTCGCCTCTCGACTAACATAAATAACGTAATGGCCATCCAGGCAACCCAGAACCCATCAACGCATCAAAAACAATGCTTCGAAAAATGGCTTCCCACTGTTTGTAGCTCTGCTTGCTAGCAGTGTGAAGCTGAGTAGTGCGAAACAATCACTCGCCAAAATTCAATCACTCTCAGCTTGTCAACTTCAAACAAGTTATGATTTGATTTCCAAGTGATAAGGCACATTGTGTTAATGCAAAAAACAGTTTAGAAATTAGCCTATAAATTCCTTAAACAAAACTCAGCTCTGCTGCAATTTATGAGTTCCTTTCATACAAAGCATCGCTGTACTGTTCATCAGCAAGTTACATTTCCCAGATAACCTAACAACCCATTAAAACACATTTTTGCATCCACTGATAGTCGATCTAAAAACTAATCTTCAAATACTATTAATATACATAAAACTTTTTTTTAAAAAATACAGTGGAACCCCATTACTACAAGCTTCGTTATAACAATTTTAATTATAACATGATTTAGTTGTGGACTGATATTTTCTTACAACAAAATCCTGTTATAAGGTTGGAATTTATGGACTCTAACACATGCCTTACAATGCGGTTTTACTGTAGTACAGTATGTCCTTCTTCAGACCAGATGGCAAAAAGCTGATAATCTAACAGACTGTGAGCTCCTCCAACTGGCCACATTGGTGAATAGGTAATACATATTGCCTTCAGACCACGCAGCCAAGGAAAGTGTTCAAAGGAACAGTGAGTGAAGTTTTTTTCAAAGATGAAACAGTCAGGTTCTGTAAATCTCCTTCAAAGTCCCCAGCGTTTCTCGGAACGCCCCAACAATATATTGCATGGAGCCTAGCATTTACTGGTAAGGCACAGACATCCGGTGCCAAATCATTTCTATGTGTATTCAACAAGAATGAATGCACATAACAGCACAAAAATCCTGAAAGCTACTCAGACAACAAATCTATATTTGGATCGAAGATCACCAAGGTTCTACAGCATTCTTCAGAATCAGGACAGAGTGCAGATGAAGTGAAATAGTAAGATTATGGAATTAATTGTTGTTAAAAGTTACTTTGCATTTAACTTTGTGGAGGAAGAGGGTGGAGATTTGCTCAATTCAAGGATCACACGTTCAAAGAAAGCAGAGGAGCTCAGCTGAGCAGTTGTGTAGAAAGAAAATGTTACAGTACATAACGATGGTCACTCAATTCAAGGTTGTAAGGTTGCCATTGTGCCATCTTAGCGGTGCCCTATAGGCCCACCGCTAGCTCCCCGTTCACCACAAAAGTGGTTATTTCCAGGTCAGATCACCTCCGATGTCGCTCCCTGTAACTCTGAAGGCGCAGGAAGTGACAATGTACAATCAAACCCACTGACATTAGTTGGTTTGGCTGTGACAAGCCCAAAGGTATTGTTGTCACCAGTGGCGTCAGTTGCAGAAGCACTGAACGGTGATTGCTCCACATTATAACACTGTTTGGGATTTTAAGGGCTCCAACTTTCACATTATAATAATAATAATAATCCTTGCATTTGATATAGCGCTTTTCACGTCGGGAGGACGTCCCAAAGCGCTTCACAGAACACACTGCAAAGTGAATTAACTGTATATTTGTGGGCGAACGCGGCAGCCAATTGCGCACAGCAATGTCCCACAAACAGTCGTAGATTGAAAATGACCAATTTATTATTGTTTTTGGTTTTTGGAGGGATTATTATTAGGCTCTGTGTGGAGTAAGGAAACTTGCCCAAGGTTTCGCCCTCTGCCTGGAATTGAACTCAGGTCTCTCACTTGCAAAGCGAGTGCTCTAACCACTGAGCTACAGGACTCCATTATTACTGGGCTCTCCCGCAGTACATTGTTAATCTTTTACCCAAAGAAATTGAAGTTCTCTTATCACATGGAGCGTTCCTTGGATCTGAGGAGCTCATTACATATATAGATGTGAAAAGACTATATCCTAGCTAAATCAGCATTCAATGGGAGAGAACCATAATCTTCGCAAACCAACAAATCCATTGAGCTGCAAACAAGTTCAAAGCAACTAATTAAATCAACATTCAAACTGTGGCTCTTATTGTGACTGAATTACGTGCTCCATTTCACTCTCCAATCAGTCACATCTCTGCAGGAGCATTGGGTGAAAGGATAAAATCATCTCCCCCCATTCAGCACAAAGCACAGCAGCAATTTTTAACATTAAGTCAACATCAATATAAATAATGAAATATGAAGGAAATAATAGAGAAATTTAACAGATTATATTTTTAAAATAACAAGCTTAAAACCAAGTATCCCAGCTTCACTCAGAAGCCAAGCTCTTATTAATTCATCAATTAATTGGATGTTATTTCTTTTTGCTGCCCCTAGAGAACGCTTTACTAATAATCTGATGGGGCACAAAAATCATGGAGACTGTTGAATCCAGCTTTAAGTAATAGGATATAAAATCTTGACTTAATAATCATCATCCTTTTATTTGATATAATGCGTTTCATATTGGAAGGACACCTCAAAAACACTTGACAAAATGTCACATGACAAAACTGTACAGGTTACAAACAACAACAAATCACATTTATATAGTACCTTTCACGTCAGGAACATGTGCCAAGACGCTGGAAGTTGAAAGGTTTGCACCCAAGCTGGGGATTGGGAGTCAAGAGGGGAGGAGGGCAAGGGGGTGGTGGAAGTGGGAGGAAGATCGAAGGCACATTCAGAGGAGACGGGCCTCGAAGGAGGCAAGGGACGGGGTGAGGCAGAGGGGCTCCAGAATAGAGTTTCAGAGGGAGGGTGTAGAAAGGCTGAAGACCCAACCGCCGATGGTGGAGCAGGCAGGGCAGTGGACATGGCAGGCCAGTGCCCGCTGAGCAAAGGGAGTGGGGAGGTAGGGAATGTTTCAGTAGGTCACAGAGGTAGCGAGGAGCAAGACCATGGAGGGCTTTAAAAGTGATGATGAGGATCTTGAACTCGATCCTCTGGAGGATGAGGAGTCAGTGAAACCGCACGAGGATCGGGGTGATCAGCTCACAAGCTTAGTGCGGGAGAGGACACGGGTAGCAGAGTTCTGAATAATCAGCAGCTTGTGGAGAGAAGAATTGGGAAGTCCAACAAATGGGGTCAGCATAGTCAAGTCTGGACGTAATGAAAACATGGCTGAGGGTCTTGGCAGCCCGATGGGCGAGGTTGTGGCAGAGGCAAGCAAGGTTGTTGAGGTGGGAGATGACAGAATTGGTCATGGCAAACAGAATAGATCTAAATAGGTAAATCTACGTATAAATGTATGATATAATGAATAGACCAAATAGTACTGATGCAATTGTGATGAAGTTAGAAAAAGAAAGTTGGAGATACAATACAATTTACATTCATATAGCGCCTTTCACATTGGAAGGATGTCTCAAAGCACTTCAATGAGATGCGTCAAATATGATGTAAATTCACTTGAATGACCAAGTATGAGAAAATATCATATGAAGAAAGAGTGGCTTAATTGAAGCTTTTTCCTAATTTAAATTCAGCCCACTTAAATAACATTTGCATCTGATGCAAGAATTGTAATGTCACAACATGCCAAATTGCTTTTTTTAATTGTGAAATGCACTTTGGCATGTTGTGAAATGTAGTGACTGTAAGACTGTTAAGCGGCTTGGTAAGTCCTCCCGATGTGAAAGGCACTATATAAATGTAAATTTATATTCCAAATAGGATAGCCAATTTATGCACAACAAAGCAAACAGCTATGAAATGTACAATCAATTTATCTGGAGGATTGTTGGCCAGAACAACTGGAGAACGGTTTTCGTTTAACGTAGCGTCATGGGATCTTTAACAACTACCCAAGGATCGACAGGTGGTACCTTGGTTTAACATCTCAGTGAAGAAAAAAATCACTTCATGCAACCGTAGGCAAGATTAAATAAGATGGGTTAACTCTACAAAATCAGGGTGCTAAGAAGTTTACTCACAGCATTGTAGTCCAGATCATTGTGTTTAAGAAATTGTTGTTGCTTGTCCAATGGAAGTTCATTGAATCGAAACCGAAACAGATCCAGCTCTTGCTGAATAAACCAACGTCTTAAGTCTTCTCTGTGGATGTCAAGCAAAGAAAATTATGAGTAGACTTTTACAGAAAGAGAGAACTTTCTATTAATAGCACTTACAGTGCAAAAATCCACATTAATTGCATATATTACTGTGCCTATTATATATTATTGTCTGGTGCTGTGGCTGTTTTACTGGACAAATTAGATATTATATTTTGCACATAACAAGTCCCCAAAACAGCTATGAGATTAAAGACCAATTGATCTGGAGAATTATTTGCCAGAACACTAGAACAACCTCCCTTGTCCTTTCAAATGATGTCTTTAATATCTACCAAAAAAGATAGACTAGAACTTCATTTAAAATCTGATCCGGCACCTCAGACACTCAGCGCTCCCTCAGTGCTAGTGGAATGTTTGCCTGGTCTATGAGCTCATCACGATCTGCCTTAGACCACAACCTTCTGACCAGAAATCAGAATGCTATTAAATGAAGTAAATCAAGAAAGTTAAAGAGAATACGAAGTTCAACTCTTCATTGGTATTTTCAATGGAATACTGTGAACTTTCCACTTTGTAGGCTTCAAGCAGATAGACGTTTGTGTTCATTACTATTCAATAGAAATCAGTACATCTCTATTAAAATGACCTTGGAACCTGGTTTCACTTAACACACTTCACTTAATTCACTTAAAACCAATTTTCTTTTACTTACGTTTGACAATAAGCAAGGCGCAGAATGAAATGAGAGAGGTGATCTTTCCTCCTCATTTCACTGTCATCATGTTTGTCCTCAATTGAAGTCTGAGGGAATGAGGAGAACAAGAGAGAAAAAAATAATGCTTAATGAGCAGGGAGAGGGAGGACTGAATTTGAGATCACATTTACATTGTAGCAATGACAAGTATATTGTATGATAAGGCATGAGAAATAATCCGGGTCATGCAGTCACTAGTGCTTTCATGAATAGAGATACATTACAATGAAAGAAAAGATATTGCATTTTTATGCATAGGGAGGGGAATATTCATGAATAGGATGAAAATGGGAACAGGCAAAAAGGCTGAGATTAGCCTCGACCACAAAATATAGTTCATTCACTTTACAGTATATTCTGTGAAGCGCTTTGAGACATCTCAATGACGTGATGAGGTGCTATATCAAATTAAAGGATTATTAATAAAGATCACATAATGCACTGTCCCAATTGCTCAGTCACTGCTTTGTGCTGAATCTCACACATGAACACTAACAAGAACAAGATTACATTTGTGTAACATCTTTCACGTCGGGAGGACGTCCCAAGGTGCTGGACAGATACAGCATTTCTGGGGGGGAGGGGGCGGGAGGAGGGGAACAGGGGTGGCCGATGGCATGGTCGAAGAGGAGGGTGTTGAGGCGGGACTTGAAGGAGGCTAAGGAAGGGGCGAGGCGGAGTGATTGGGGGATGGAATTCCAGAGGTTGGGGGCAGAGTGGCTGAAGGCTCTCCCGCCAATGGTGGGGCGGGTGGGTCGGGGGACGTAGGGCAGGCCAGAGCCGCTGAGCGGAGGGAGCGGGCGGGTTGGTAGGGGATTAGAAGGTCGCAGAGGTAGGGCAAGGCCATGGAGGGCTTTGTATATGAAGACCAGGATCTTGAACTGGATCCTCTGAAGTATAGGAAGCCAATGGAGGCGGGCGAGAATGGGGGAGATGGGGTCACGGAGTTTGGTGCGGGAGAGGACACGGGCTGCAGAGTTCTGGATTATCTGCAGCCTGTGGAGGGAGGAGTTGGGAAGGCCGACAAGCAGAGCGTTTGCATAGTCGAGCCTGGAGGTGATGAAGGCATGAACAAGAGTTTCAGTGGCCTGAGGGGTGAGGTAGTAGCAGAGTCGGGCGATGTTACGCAGGTGAGGGAAGGCAGAGCGGGTCATGGCTTGAATGTGGAGCATTATTGCTGTGTAACCATCTTGTGGCAGCTGACCCAATGATTCACGGCAAGACGCGCCAGCCACAAGTGACGCACAGTCTGCAAATTTATGATTTTCCGAATAACAATGAAACTGGCGTTCTGTAGGAAGGCAGTCCACACTGGTTGGGCTGTTAAAAATTACTTATGTTTTAGTTTCTTGTTTAAGGGAGGGGAAAAGTGAGGGAAAGTGACTTTGACATTGCCCAGTTTAGCTCGTTGGGAACAGGGAGTGACAAACGGATCATAATAATCATAATAATGATATAGCATTTGATATAGCGCCTTATCACATCTTCGAGACAACTCAAAGCACTTCACACAATATACTGTAAAGTGAATTGACTGTATTGTTTGGTGTCTGTGCATGTATGCACTGTAATATACTGTAAAGTGAATTGACTGTCTATATATATATTTTGTCATGCAAGTGGTTGTGATTTTCATTTGATTTCTTGCAAATGTCTATATTTCCTCACTTGCTTTATACTGTAGAAATGGGCTCGAGCCAAATTTTTTCCCCTTCTGACAAAAGGCAACACTCGTAAAATTTACCTACTTTTCTCTTTCAGGTGCTAATTTTCATTGGATCAACCTTTGAGATGCTTGTTCAGACCTTCAAACCCTTTCCTGCTGTCTAATTCCCTCCATTATCCATGCTGCATTTCTCCAACTCTGAACTATTCTTAACATTGTTGTTATGAATTGTCTCCCTACTTGATATTTACCACCATACTGGATTTGTTACACGCTTATATATTATACATATATAATACTACTTGCATTTGGTATAGCGCCTTATCACTACCTTGAGACTTCTCAAAGCGCTTCAAAGAATATTACTCTAAAGTGAATTGATTGTATAGTTTATGGGCGAATTGCATTAATACTATTCGCTGCATGTTTCCAGTACTTTGTGATATTATTAGAAATATATTTCTTCCCCCAAAATATAAGAATTTGAATTGGTTAGAAAAGGCTGTGAGCTGTTAACAGAGGACTAATTAAAAGGAGTGGCCTAATGTTTGTCAGAGACATGAAACAAACCCTTGAGATGCAATCTTTATAGCTCTCTGGGACGCTGCCTTGCGTGAGGATGCTATATAAATGCAAGTTATTGTTGTATAGATGCTAGTGATGGTGGCGGCAGATGAGCTGCTGTGCTCCTAACCTCTTTAGGATTGACTGAGCGTGTTTTGTGGGCGAAACCCAGCAGTCAATTGCACACAGCAGCGTCCCACAAACAGTGCATTTGAGAGGTTATTACCCCTGGAAAACAATCCGCCAATCGACTAACAACCGGTTTCCTATTTACTGCGAGGTAAACAGGGCCGTGTGGAGTGACGAAAGTTGCCTAAGGTTTCGCTCAGCCCAGGAATCGAACCCAGGTCTTCTTGCTTGCGAATCGAGTGCACTAACCATTACGCTACGGGAATTCATTTAGTATCTAAATGTTCCCCTTACAACGTCGACGCATAACGTCACTTCCAGTAAACGCGCTCCTCACTCTCTCTGCTCCAGTCGGTGGCCACCACCCACCACCCGCCACACCCCCGACCCCTGCAACTCTAATCTAAACCCACTTTGCCTTCCAACCCCTCTCCCGCCTTCAAAACACTTGTCACAAACCTCTCTCTGCAGCCATGTCTTTGGTCAACATTGTAGTGACAGAGTCTTTATGGGGGGTGGGGGTTAGTGACACAGTCTCTGTGTGGGGGGGTTAGTGACACAGTCTCAGTGTGAGGGGTTAGTGACACAGTCTCAGTGTGGAGGGGTTAGTGACACAGTCTCAGTGTGGGGGGGGTAGTGACACAGTCTCAGTGTGGGGGGGGTTAGTGACACAGTCTCAGTGTGGGGGGGTTAGTGACACAGTCTCAGTGTGGGGGGGTTAGTGACACAGTCTCAGTGTGGGGGGGTTAGTGACACAGTCTCAGTGTGGGGGGGGTTAGTGACACAGTCTCAGTGTGGGGGGGGGTTAGTGACACAGTCTCAGTGTGTGGGGGGGGTTAGTGACACAGTCTCAGTGGGGGGGGGTTAGTGACACAGTCTCAGTGTGGGGGGGGGGGTTAGTGACACAGTCCTCA